AAGCCAGGCCACCTGGATCTGACACTAGGGTTCCAGACACATATTCTTGCTTTGCCACCGTTACCAGCTTGCTATATTGCCCACAGTTTGATATGATGGACAGGCATCACATACATGCAGCTTCATTGGCACCATGTGACCATGAGCAGTCTGTGGTCACGCACAGTAAGTTACCCACAGGCTGCAGAGGGCTGAGCATGCGGGCTGACCAGGGCTCACCAGCAGCTCACGCCCTTTACCGCCACACTCCTGCTGGCATGGCTGCACCAGTCACACATTGCTGGGCTCTGTCCTCCCTGGGGCATTGGTTCCATTTCCTGCTCAGCAACTTTTAATTAATTAAAAGTTAATTTTTTTCAACCACAAAGTGTGTATAAGGGAAAGCCAGCACCAAGCTTAGATTTGAGGTAGGTTAGCATTTCTGCTTTTTGCATTGTGTAGGGAAAAGACAGAAAATTCCAAACTATGCCTTGAAGTGCCTCGATGCTGTCCTTCAACCCTAGGATAGAATACGGGGTCAGAGGACAGCCAAGTCAGGGGGATATGGTAGCTCTTAGAGCTACAAGTGGGAAACATTACACAAGATTACAGTTTGGGGTGATTTCCCCCCTCATTCTTTCAACTCCTTTCCCTTCTGCCTCAACAATATATACAGGGTGTCCCCCCAAAATGTATACACACTTTACCAGCTGATAGCTCAGTTATGAAAATGAAATGTATTTTAATAAAGACTGCCTTTATAATGATTTAAAGTGTGTGTATACATTTTTTTGGCACACCCTATATATCCAGCCTAGCATGTGCCTAAACCATACAATGAATGAATAAATGAATGCAGGGGAGGGGGTGTGTATGTGATTCAGAGCATTGTTGATAGCTTGAAAGGACCTAAATCANTAGGGGAGGGGGTGTGTGTATGTGATTCAGAGCATTGTTGATAGCTTGAAAGGACCTAAATCAATGACTTTCCATCTGGTCATTAGTGATAAGGGCAGGCAGAGGGAAGGAAAAGATATAAACAGATACATTCTGAAGGTCTGTATGAAACACATGCAATCAACTCATTGTCAAACCACAGCCCAGGTCCCCAACACCCCACTGGTAACATTTTGTCTTGAACTATGAGCATTTAAACTCCAAGGGCATTTAAGCTCCAAGGCCCTGGGATGACTGAAAACACAGGCTAACTCCACTTACAGCCACTAGGTGGCACCTGCCCTAGGAATTGCAGACTGGCTGCTCGCGGGGTTGGCCCTGAGAAGAAATGTCAGGTTCTTGCTGGGTGGGTAGAGGCGCTTTCCAGAGCCAGTGCTGCCAGTCCCCGGGAGGCACCTGGATTCATGGCCCTAATGATGGGCTCCCCCTATCTAAAATAGCAACTCCCTCCCACTGTCTCCTCATCCTATACCCTTCACTCTTATTTATTTTCTTTATAATAGTTATCACGCTTGACTTTACAATATATGTTTGTCTATTTTCTGTGTCCCTCTACTAGAAACTAAACTCCACAAGAGCAGAGACTTCCCTTTGCTCACTACAGTGTCACCAGCTCCTATAATACCTAGTACTTAGTAAACCCTCAATAAACGTGGCCCATGAATGAATGAATGAGCAAACATGTAGCAGAGAGTTATTAGTCACTAGGTATGTGGTTACCTTCCCCAGTGGGATATTCTGAAGACCAAGCAATGCTGAGCTACTTGGCTGTTTGCAGGAGGTGGATTTCGTTCACATCACGTCTATTCAGCCAGAACAGTGGTTTCATATTCTAAATCCACAGGGTGTCTGACCACGACTTCCCGAAGGGAGAGGGAAGCAGGGCACCACAAATACTCAGGACACCCCTGAGCTGGGCTCACGAGCCCCTGGAGTAGAAGATGTCACAGAAAGGAAAGCTCACCAAGGCTTCCCATTTCCTGTGGATGGGCCTCTACTGGCCACACCAGGACCTGGATTCGGAGGAAAGCTTGCCTAGCAAGAAGGCCGTAGGTAACTAGGCCCCCTTAACTTGACGAAGAATGGCTTCACTCCAGCCTCCCAAAGACAGGGTAAGAGTGATGTAGACTGGGTAAGGCTCTCAGGACCCATCCTCCTAGGTGACAGGAAGCAAAGATGCTGACAGCCCTAGTAAGAGGCACCTCTTCTGGGTTGAGGAGAAGAGCGAGGCTGGGCCTGGTGCGGGCCCCTGAGTTTCCCAGAGGTCTGCAGCAGGCAACAGCCCTGATGCATCTTCCTGCAAAGATCAGCCGGCGGGCAAGCGAGTCTGTGCTGTGTGCGGAACGGCCGCCGCCTTTCCCAAGTTACATGACAGAGTTAAAATCACCTGCAAACCTAAATCCAGTGAGTGCCAACAGACAACACACTTAACAGCCGGAGGATGATTCAGAGGAAGCAATTTTCCACAGCGAAGAGAATCATCTGTTAGTGTGAAAAGCAAACACTCTTTTATTAGCATAGAAAACTCGAGGGAAACGTTGCTGCATCCATAAATGTGGTGCTTGAGTAAATGGCTCCAGAACAATATCCACAGCTGGAAGGACTTGTACAGATTCCGCTCCCACTCGGAGCTCTCCCACAGAATTCGCTCTCTTGCAGGGAAGGTGAAACTCGGTTCTGACCTCCTCCTATTCACTTAATGAGCAGCTCCTCCAGGTCCTGGTCCCTGTGCCCACACAAGGGATCCCAGGATTCAGAGCTCTCTGGTCTTCTTTTATCTACATACCTTTCCCTGGTGACCTCAACCAGTTTCATGTCTTTATTCTGTGACGTTACAATTCATATTCTGGCCCTGACTTCTCTGGGGCTTCACAGAACCAATTGCCTATTTGAACTTCCATTTGGATATATAATTGGCATCTCATGTTTGGAACGGCCCAAACTGAACTCTCAGTCTTCTCTTTTCCCCCAATGTCTTATTATTGCATAAGAAATCACCCCCAAACCTAGTGACTTAAAATGGTGCTAATCACAGACTTTGCTCACAAATCTGTAATTTTGGCTCATCGGGGATTGCTCCATGAAGCATCAGCTGGAACAGCTTGACTTGGGGCTGGAGAATCCATTCCCAAGATGGCTCATCCCATAACTGGCAAGTTCTGCCAGCTGTCACCTGGGAGCTCAGCTGGGATATTGGCAGGGAGACTCGGTTCCTCTCCCCATAGGCTCTCTACAAGTTGCTATGGCTTCCTCAAGGGATGGTGACTGAGAGTTTCCAGTGTGAGTTTCCCAAGGAGAGAAAGTGGAAACTGCCAGTGTCTTAAGCCCTAGTCCGGGAAACTGGTAAGATGTTACTTCTGCCATGTCATCACATGGTCAAGCAGTCACAGACCTGATTCAAGGGAAGGGAAGACCCCCAACTTTCCATGGAAGGAGCGTCAGAGAATTTGCAGATAAGCTTTAAAACTGCCAGATGTCCCAAACCTGCTCTTCCCTGTAGTCTTCTCCATCTACCGGTTGCTCAGGCCACGAGGAGTCATCTTGGATTGCTGTCTTTCCCTTCCCCTTCCCTCCAGTCCCCATCAGCAAGTTCTGTTGTCTCTCCCCTGAAACATGCCAGAATTCTTCTATTCTCTCCTCTTCACGACCACTACCTTAACCCAGACAACTTCATCGCCCCCCTGGATGACTCCTTGCTTGGTTGGTTGCAATAGCTTGTTAACTGCTCTCTGCCTCCATGCCTGCTTTCTAAAATCTAGTCTTCATACAAAGGTGTCTTTTAAAAATATAAATCAGATCATCCAGCGCGTCTGCTTAAAATCCCTAAAAGCTTCACAACGTGTTATAATTAAACCTGAATGTCTCATTCTGAATTCAAAAGCCAGACATGCTTTGGAGGCTGGCATGGCTCAGTGGTTGAGAGTCAGCCTATGAACCAGGAGGTCATGGTTTGATTCCTGGTCGGGGCACATGCCCAGGTTTAAGGCTCGATCCCCAGTGGAGGGCATGCAGGAGGCAGTTGATCAATGATTCTCATTGATGTTTCCATCTCTCCCTCTCCCTTTCTTTCTCTGAAATCAATAAACACATATATTTTTTTTAAAAGTTAAAAAAGCCAGATGTGCTCTGGCCCATTTACTCCCTGGCCTCATCTCTTACCACTCACCTTCTCACCAGACTGTGATCCACACACATGCTTGCTCCTGCCGGACAGCCTTTGCCCTTGACTTTCCTCTATCTGGAATCCTCTTCTCAAGGCTGGTTTCTTCTTGCCACTTAGTTTTCAGTTGAAATGCCATTTCCCCAGAGAGGCCATCTACAATCCACAATCCTAAAGTAGTCGTGCAATCATCTGTTGCATTAACTCATTTTAGGTTTTCAACATAACACTTACTACTAGCTGATACTTTTCATTGGTGATTTATTTGTTTATTTGTCTCTTCCCTCTCAAATGTAAGCTCCATGAGGGTAAAAACCTTGTTTGTCTTGTCACTGTGCATCCGTAGGGCCCAGAAGAGTGCCTAGCCCAGAGCAGATGTTCAATAAATATTTGACTTAGCAAGTGGAACAGCAGCCCCAGCCAGCCAGCCTCCAACAGGACCAGAGCATCAATTCAATGGTTGACTGGTACAGAGAGGAAGCATCAGGGGGCCTCGGTGGCCCGTGCTTGTGCTAGGAGCTCCGCGTTGGGGCATGGGCCTGCTCCTGGAGGCTGCCTCACAGAGACCAGGCTCATGCAGCCTCCTTCCCATTCCCAGCCTTCTTGTGAAATCAGCAATACAGACTCCCACAGCCAGGAGCACAAAGTTACTAACGTGCTCGGACAGGGATGGCCCAGTTTGGCTCACCCCACCTCCACATCGGTCAGTGGTCACTGATTCCAGTTACATTACATTTGAATTTTCATTTTATGGTTAGACTCAGAAATGTAGGCAAAATTCTGGTGTTACAAATTCCAGGTGCTTGTTTTAATGATTTTTTTTTAAATAAAGAAGTTTAAATTTTGGAAGAGAAATTAGAAAATGGGTATTTAGGGCCCATCCAAATAAAGAAGAAACATTTGATGAGGATTTTTCAAAGGTCATTGTTATTAATAGGTTAAAAAAAACTACTGAGGTGAAAAGTGAGTTCAACAACAATGAAATAGTCTTCATTTTCTTCAAAAATATTTGTTAACCATTTTTTAGTACTTTGGTATAGAGAATTTTATATACAGTTAGTTGTTTACAAAATAACAAAACACTATGGTTATGTGTAGTCAGCCCATTCATTAGGGAAATGGCAGCTTGTTTGATAGAAATCTTTTTTATTTACTGTAATGAGATTTATGCCTATGGATTTAAATTTTTAAAAATTCAATAATATTGAAAATTCAAGTTCATGTGGGCAAGGCCCTGCTGTGCTGACGGAAGGTGAGATGATTCTGAGATACTTAGAGGCCGGGATCTGTGTAGCTGCTCTGGCAGTGATGTGACCGCTAAGAGGTGCTGCTCATGTCCCCAGAGCTGAGTCAGTCTCTGACCTTGGAGAGTGGGGGAGGAAGGCACACATAACAGGCTGGTCCACACAGTGTCCCACCTGGACCTCGGATGCCTGCAGTGGGAAGCCTGATGTGGAAAATAGGACCCTTGGCAGTCCTGACTCGGGGTGTGCGGAATTTCCTTTTCATGAAGGTAGATGATTCTCACCCATCAAGGAGATCACGTCCGACTTGAATGCTCCAGGCCCTGACACTGTGCCCAGCCTTTAGACACTGTGTCTAGAGGCACAGCTGGTGCTGAAACCTGCACTGTGCACTTGCTACAGGTGGAAGCTGGCCACGAGGAAGGTGTCAGTGGGCCTACATTATTATGTCTGAGGAAGTGCTTTCTCTGAGGAGAAAGCTGTGGAGACACAGAGTTCCCCCAGGTCTCAAGTGTGGGGATGGTGCCTAAAGGGCCCTTCTTCCCTCCCTTCCTCCTCCCCTGGTCTGCCTGGTCAGAGCCTGCACCTGGGCACAGAGAGCTTCCTTAAGGAGGGCTGGGCTGGAGGAAGCTGACGTTTCAGACAAGGCAGCCCCTTCTGTGGTCTCCTTTCCATCCCAGCCCAATTGAGGAGTGAGAACCAGGAAGGACAGGTGAGTCTCAGCTGAGCTGACTGAGGTCCAGCTCAGCCAGCCCTTGATGCATCCAAAACATCTGCCCACAGCAGTGAGAAGCGGGTGAGACTCAAAGCCACTCTCAGTCCACATCCACAATGCTGGGAAAGAAATACCAAGTTCAGTTTACCAAAATATCTGTATTATCTATAAAATTGAACTCTAATGAGTCACTGCTACTGGAAGCCGTGATATCCAACTAGGCTGGCTGCAGAAGCAAACGGCTACGTCCCACCAGCGCCCGGGGAACATGGCACTGCGTGCCATGCGGGCCGGCTCATTTGTAAGGCCTCAAAAACCTGGACACTTTGGAACGTAGCAATCGGATGAAGGATCTTGGAAACATCTCCCGGGACTCCTGGGCTGTGTACTTGAAATAGTTCTGGGGGTGGGCCAGGACATCAAACAGCGCCTTGATCAGCTTCTTATCCTAAAAAGAACAGAATTTTTGTTACTGGGCCAAAATATTTAAACATTCCTACATTTTGCCAATGGAACTATAATGACCCAGTGTTAGGCTGCTCAGCTGAAAAACACTTTGTGAAAATGGTTTTTATCTTCTGATTTTTATCTTTTTTCCAGTTTTTCGTTTTCCTAATTATCTACAAAAAGCATGTATTACCTTTATAAAGGAAAATTTAATATGTAAAAACTGTTTTCCTTTTCTAAAATGCGTGAGGCACAACATTGGAATTTGGGGAATATTTATTGGGTTAGTGATGTGTTGAGTGTTGATTGGTAATTACTTATAAGTACCTAAGATTTGGTGAATTTCACCCTTGAAAGATAAAGAGCCAAGAATCTTCAACTGTTTGGAGAATCAACATGAAAACACAAATTGCTCCTGGCTTGGATTTATGATGAACAAGGTTCCCACTGCTCCTCCGCCGCACGTTTCCAAATTAAAAAATACAACTTCACTTGACAACACTAAGGACAGCCTCCTGATTTTTAAAAAAACAAACAAAGTCTGGTGAAGCTATAAAACTGAGCTCAGCCCAGAGCAGACTCCGTGTCTGAGAGGCAGCCACATGGAGCAAGAGGAAAACTTCCCTCCGGTGATGCCTGGGGAGCCCTGGGGATGGCTGCCGAATCCACCTTAAGTACATACTTACCTTAAGTATTTCCTGATGGTTCTCAGAAGCATAGAGCCTGCCATCTCGAACTATGTCTTCAATGAGTTCCTGGTAATCCTCTGTTGGAATAAAGGACATATGTTGTGTTGTATGATTTAGTTATTTCCAAACGCTTTCTTTCATTTTTTACAAGGTTCTGAGAAATGCCCCTTCTGCAGCTGCTAACAGGACAGTGGCCACCCTGGCACTGAGAAGGCAATCAGAAGAGAGCCCCCTCGGACTCCCCTACCACACCCTCTCACCTACCATCTTCTGCACCCATCTTCCCTGTTCCGTCTTCCTTCAGATAAACCCTCTGTGCGTCCGGTCAAGGCCCTCCCTCCACCTTGCTCACACTCCATCTTCTCTCACCAAACCAAGGGCACTGTTCCAGGAATTCTGCCCTTTTTTTCCTGGATGATAAAATTTTCTCTCTCTACTGGTCTTTTCCATCAGCATGCAAATATACTGTTATGTCTCCACTAAAAATTTTAAAAAAAAGTCCTTCTCTTGACCTCATTTCTCCCTCCAGCACCCATCCTACGTCTCTGTTCCCCTTTGTAGCAAAACTCTTCGAAAGAATTGCCAACATTCACTGTCTCTCTGATTCTTCTCCTTTCTTTCTCTCCCAAATGCAGTCCACTAAAGCTTTGCCTTCCACCACTCCCTGAAAATCACTTGTCAAAATCACCAATGACCTTTATGTTGCTAAATCCCAAAGGTCAACTCCCGGTCCTCATCGTCTTTGATGCGTCAGTAGCATTTGACCTGGCCAGTCACCCCTCCTCCTGACCCACTTCTTCACTCAGCTTCCAGGTTGTCACGCTCTTTGGTTTTCCTCCTACCCCACTGGTTTCTCCGTCTGAAGCTCAGCGTTTGGTTGTGAACTCTTCTCTGTCTATACTCACTCCCTGGTGAGCTCATCCAGGCTCATGGCTCTTCTCTTCCTCTCTACTTTTCTCCCTTCTCCCTGACTCCCTTTTTTTTCTATCCTCACTTGAGGATATTTTTTCCATTGCTTTTCAGAGAGAGGAGAAAGGAGAGAGAGAGAGAGAGAGAAACATCAATGTGACAGAGACACATCGACTGGTTGCCTCCCGAATGCCCCCCGACCAGGGCCAGGGATTGAGCCTGCAACCAAGGTATGTGCCCTTGGCCAGAATTGAACCCGGGACCCTTCAGTCTGAGGGCTGACACTCTAACCACTGAGCAACTGGCAAGGATGCTTTCCTTCCTTTTTTCTCTCTGTTCTTATATTATGTAAAACAATCAAGCTTCTTACCTATCTAGCAAGACTCTTCTCCCTCCCTTTTTTTTTAAAAAAAAAAAAAATATCTTTATTGATTTCAGAGAGAGGAAAGGAGAGGGAGAGAGAGAGAGACAGAAACATCAATTATGAGAGAGTCATTGATCGAGCCCACAATCCGGGCATGTGCCCTGACCGGGAATCGAACCCCGATCGCCTGGATCCTAGGTCGACGCTCAAACCCTGAGCCACACCCAACCGGGCTCTCCCTCCCTTTTTTTAATGGGGTTGGGGGTGCAGGGAAAATCTGGCTAGCTGGAGAAGCTATGTTCATTTTCTCATTAATGATTTTAGGTCCTGACATACACATTAAATGCAGAGCACACGATGTGAGACTTCTCCAAATGTAACCCCCCATTCAAAGTCTGGTCTATTTCCTACTGTCACAATTCAAATCAAGCACATGCAAAACACAATCTTTTTTAAATTCCAGGCCAAAAAAAAAAAAAAAAAAAAA